TCTACATAAGGAATGTTGTTGATGAGTCTTCCTTCAATCCTGATGTCACATTCTTCCTCATAAAGTCCAGCTTTCTGGATAATCTGTTCCACATATAGATTAAACAAGTTATGGAAACAGGCTGTATCCCTGCCATACACCTTTCCTAATCTTGAACCATGCAGTGCAGTGTTTCCTTGCTCTGTTCTGATGACTACCTCCTGGTCCAAGCATAGGTTTCACACGAGCACAATCAGGTGCTCTGGAATGCTCATCCTTCTCAAGACTTGCCAGTTTGTTGTGATCCATCCAGTTAAAGACCTTTGCATAGTCAATGAAACACAGACAGACATTCCTCTGGTACTCCTGCTTTCATCAATGAAATACAAACCTAGGAGAAATGGAAGTTGTCAAAAATGAAAATGGAACATGTCAAGGTCACTATCCCAGGTATTACATATAATCCATCCCTAGCTGTTCTGACATAGGTACACATTGGGTTTAAAAACCTACTGAGGAATGGTCTTGTTGCTAGTGTAGGGACAACCTGCATGTCTTTTCTGGGATCATTAATGATTTTGATTTGAGAGAGTCAACTCTCAGGACATGTTGAAGGTTTCCCAGCCCTCTCTCCAAATTAGAGGATCCTATATTAATAAATTACTTTAAAAGAGAGTCTGCTTTAGTGTATTCATCAAATTAGATAATTATATGGAATTTGATTTTTTTTTCTGTGGTGGATACACTACTTAGAATTATTAAAGGCGAGAAGACACTTTAATGACTGACTGACCGTAGAAAGACTCTTATTTTACAGATGAAGAAATAGACCCAAAAAGGAAGAAGTACTTTCCTAAAGAAAGCGACGGACAGAGCTGATACTAAGACCCAGGCTGCTGGCTAGAAGTCTTCACACTACAGAGCACACATCCCAGTGCTTCTCCAGCATCACGTCTAGTCACCGTCTCACCAGTTTCCAGAGACCAAGGCATCAGTTCAAGTGAGAGAACAAAACAATACCCTCCAAACTGGTTTAATGCAATTATAATTCCTCATAAATTTGTTAAATAGTTTTTTTGTTGGTTGGTTGGTAGGTTGTTTTGTTTTACTTTTTGAGTGTTTATCGGAGATCTTTCCTATCTTTCTAGCATATGTCCAGGACTTAGCCATCTGTATATAAATTTGGTATACATTTGAGTCATATGCGTGTGTGTGTGTGTGTGTGTGTGTGTGTGTGTGTGTGTGTGTGAGATTCTGGCCCATGGCAACCCCATGTGTGCAGAGCAGAACTGTGTTTTCAAGGCAACGGCCTTTCAGAAGCAGATGGCCAGGCCTGTCTTCCGAGGTACCTCTGCATGGCTCTGAACAAAATCTGAATACAGCTATGATGCGTTGGAGCAAACATCTTGTCGCCTTTAGGTTTCTAAATCTCTGTCTGGAAAATAGTTAACATCCATGATAAAACTGGAGCCTTAACACTCTTAGCCAAGTGATTGAGGCCACTTGAATTGCAATGCATGAGAACTGCCCCTCAACAGACCTGCAGGATGTTATTATAAGATGTCGTTGTCCAGAAGATAAACCTTCCACTGTGCATGAACAAGGGTCAGAGAGAGAGAGGAAGGCTCCCAACAAGAGGGATTCACACAGGGACTCTTAACAGTGGGTTTCGGCATACCAGAGATCATAAGGATAAAGCAAGACAGAGCAAGGGTCAGATCTGTTGTTCATAACGAGCAACATTGGACTCCACTGAAAGGCACAACATTCAGTACGCATTTTCACTTGCGAAATCCTCTACTACTTGGGACTAAATACCGGTTTTACCTTCTGGTGCAATAGATTTCATTCATTGCAGCTGGCATTATAACAACTTAAAAGTTTTAATTTCATATATATATA